ACAAAATTTTGCTAAAAGAGGGTAAAAAAATGAGAGTTACCTGTTTCTTTTAGCTTTGTAAAGAACATTGGATAATGCTGCTTCCACTGGTCCAGGCCATTGCTAGGTGCTATCGTGAACCAACTCTGAAAAACTCAGGGGCAGGCAGTGGAGTGAATGACACTAAACTTCTCAACCTACAGGTAAATGTTTTGTACTCTCTTAGCTTCAATTGTTTTAAGATGAAATGTTGCAATATTCATTGTAGGAAAGTTTTCATTTCCATATTGTTTGTTTAATTTAGTCAGTCGACATGCTGAGCTCTGTTACTGACTTGGTCTTTCCTTCATTTTTAGCCTTATTGTGTTTATTCAACTGTGTATTCTTAAAATAAATTTAATTATCATTTTTCTCGCCACTTTGGCTTTAATCATTTCTACTGGGTGCTTATGCCTATGTATATTGGTCCAAATAAATGTTTATTGGTGCTTATGACTTTAATTATTATTTTTCTCACCACTTTGACTTTAATATAACGAGTAAGCTTTATGATTAGTTTTGGGAGGAGAAATATTGGTGAGCTGGAATGATGACCAGTGTTGAGCCCTATTTTAGTTGCAAGAGAGAATGTTCAAGTTTTTGTCAACATCATTAGCAATCTGGATTCTATCCTCGTTGAATTTTAGCTTTGGTTTCTAATACTTTATGGGTCAAATAAGGGCTGAAGTCAACGAATTTGGAATTTATCTTTTAATGACTAATTTTGAACTTGGAAGTTTCACGAAATGAAGCACTCTTAATCTATTGCCTTGAGATCAAAATTTGGTCGAAGGATTCAAAGTTTATGTTGTCATGCTCCGAAACCGTGCATTTCAATGGCACTTAGCTTCCACCAATGCGGAGTGGTTGTGGGGAGGAGGGGATGCCAGATGCATTCAAGAGAATTCTAGACAGAAAGAGACTTTAGCTGCAAAGTTATCAATGCTTTTGTGCTGTTTTTGAGTACAGATAGCAATGCTTTTGTGCTGTTTTTGAGTACAGATAGCATCATGTTTTGAAATTTTAGCCCTTAACCTGATGATATCATTGACTGTAAGATGAATACTCATATGCATTATATGCTAAAAATGGCTGTCCCTTTTTTCCCATATATATATGGGGTAAGGGGGAGGTAAGATAGTAGGCTAACCCCCAACACCAGGTTGAGAGCAGCTTCCGTAAGAGACCTCCAAATTATGAAATGCCCTCTGTGGGACTCGATCCCACGACCTCAAGGTTAAGAACCTTGTGCTCTATCAACTGAGCTGGATGGTCATTTCGCATTATATGCTAAACTAGAAACTAAAAGAAACGAAGTTAAATGGTTGCATGTAGTTTTCATTTATAGAAGGCCGAAATCATGCCATGGCATAAACACATAAAAAGGGAGTGTAATTTTTCTGTGGCTTGGACAATGCCCCATCTTCCATTTCCATCCATTCCTACTCTGTTGTTATATACCTACTCATGTCACGCTGTTGTGTATATGAAAAATTACTTGTTTTCCACATATGAAAAGTGCACTTTCAAAACTTTAATCAGGAATTATTTTAGTGAATAATGATTAATATAAGATTCTCCGCTAACCCTGACATGATTTCTTATAATTTTTCTTTTCCAATTTTCAATTGATTGTGGATAAAGGCAGATGTTTCAAAAGGGAATGGCAGCAAAATCTTTTACCTCGACACACTTTGATGGTAATTTCCATTCTCTTTGTTGCTATTTTTAGTATTAAGGTTGTTTAGCTGCTTATCATCAGTGCATGATGAACTTACATGGCATAAAGTGAGAAAGTTTGTACTCTTCGTTCTTGTTTCCTAGTATATTTAATACATAAAGGATGCAAATGTCCTTCCCTTCTAACATTTAGCCATATATTTTTGCAATATCTTTTCACCCAGCTGATAATACAAAACTTCATTTTTCTGAATTTTATTTGTATTGCATATTAGCTGAATAAACGCTCACTTGCTCCCGTCCAAGTCTCTCTACCTATCTTTTTCAAATTTTTACCATATAAGAAATTTGTCCCCAAATTTTCAAACTACCATTACTTATATGCTCCTTTCTTTCACAGCCCTTCTATGCTAGGGTGAGAAAACATATCTAATTGCTCAGGAAAAAGAAATCCAGGATCAGAAAGACAAAAATTCTCATAATTTGCATGTATTTGATTGTAATATCCATAATTTGACAATTTTGCCACTCATATTGGATTTTAAGTGGCTTAACATAAGGTGATTGAGTCTTAGTACGATTGGAAATTTTTTTTTGCTGTTGTAACATAGAGAAGGATGTAGGTTCGAGCATGCTTAAGCATACGAAACTGTTCGATTTATATGGGAAGGGGCCTGGGTAGTTCAGGCATTTTGTGTATAAAATAGGTGGCTTAACATGATGTTTATTGCTTAATTAGAGTTTTCCACCAAGCAGTTGAGTGCAATCACTTGTTAAACATTTTTTTGTTGCAGTCCTTTCATGTGGTTATTTGATGGAACATCATTTTTGTCTTAATCTTCCTTATAACTAGTACATATGCAAAAATTTCATGGAGCCGAGCATGTCATTCTTGTGGAGTTTGCTTGAGTTGTGGGTTAAATAACTTAAATATACAAGACGCTTTGATGGTAAAACAACATCAAGTTTTAGTCATGCACTTTTAGACTTGTATTCTTACTCTCTTAATCTGCCTTACTTTTAGTTGCTATGTTTTCAAAGCATGTTAAACAACATACTATGATGCGCGCTACAAAATTACTTTTAGTTGTGATTATATATACAAAGATTTGAAGGGCAAAGAATATAATCACTAGCGGACTAGCCTCTAGACCCTGGACATATACTTTTTGTACCAGTTGGAATCTGAAACACTTTTGCTGGCAATTGACTATACTGAAATGATTATTGTAGTAATTAGTGGTAACATATATTACCCTTGTAAACATAAGTGGTGTTATGTTGCACAAACTAACTTTTAGCGCATAAGCTACTGTCTTTCATGTTATTTAATTTAATGGCTATATTTTTTAACTATAACTGTCTGATTCTCACCCAAGGTTTTGGCCAAAATAGTACTTCAGTCAAGGATGAGAGACAAAAATATATATTTATACTAAGATTCAACCATAGTTGCTTGAATTAAATAATTGGTGTCACCATTTTGCTGCAGAGTCCTTCAAGAACCATCTGGCTATGGTTGATGACTTTAATGTGAAGAGGCGGCCATTAGTTATGGTGTCTGCTTTCCTCTTTGGTCAAGCATTGTGGTTGATTTCTGCACAATTAGCAAATGCAAGTGAAATTACTAACGGAGATGTCGTCTACGAGATCGGAGAGTTGTTTGAGTTAGGAATCCAGCTATCTTATCTGCTTTTACTACTAGGTTTCCTTGGGGTTGGAACCTTCTTTGTAATCCGTCAAGTACTTGTACGTAGAGAACTTGACCTTTCTGCTAAAGAATTGCAGGTAAGAATCTGTTTTCCCATGTGAAAAATATGGTAATTAACTTGCTCTGCAATTATATTTATATTACATTTCTAAGTGTCTATGATGCTTGATTCTAGTTTCCATAACAAAACGAAAAGCAAAATGGGGAAGACTTTCAACACTTTGTTCTTATGTTTGCAGTGAATTTCGACTGCACCTTTCCATTTACATTATTCCTTAATATGATTATTTTGATTTCAGGAACAAGTCAGAAGTGGAGATGCCAGTGCAACTGAGCTTTTTGAGCTAGGTGCCGTTATGCTGAGAAGGAAATTTTACCCAGCTGCGAATAAATTTTTGCGTCAGGCAATCGAAAAATGGGATGGAGATGATCAAGATCTCGCCCAGGTATGATGTCATTTAGATCATCCTTATCTTTCAAGCAGAAGCAGTTGGCTTTGTTTTGTAAATTGTTCTTAATGGAAAGTGATACGCTTGGCTTGGCTTGCTGTTTTAAAAAATATATATATGTCAACCATTTTTTGTATGAACATTCATTCTTTTTAGTCATTTGGATGATTTCTTCGGAAACATTATCGGTTGTTGACATGACATCAAGCACTATATATATATATATATATTGATTGAAGTTTTGTAAAGATGATAGCATTCTAAACTATTTTTGCTAACCATTTCACAGGTCTACAATGCTCTTGGTGTCAGTTACGTCCGGGACGGGAAGCTCGAGAAAGGAATCAGTCAATTCGAAACTGCTGTGAAGCTTCAACCAGGATACGTCACTGCATGGAACAATCTTGGAGACGCATATGAGAAGAAAAAAGACTATAAGTCTGCACTGAAAGCATTTGAAGAAGTGTTGCTTTTTGATCCTAATAACAGGATAGCACGTCCGAGGCGAGACGCTTTGAAGGATCGTGTGGAAATGTACAAAGGAGTTCCTATCAAATCAAAAGACAGATGATTTTCCACACTTTTGGATCTGAATTTTGGACCAGCTGCTTGTTCAAACAATTCAACGCCCAGAAACGAAATTATGTCTTATGTTACTATTTTGTCACAATCTCTGTGTTTCTATATCTTCTTATACAGCAGCTTCCTTTCCTTCTGCCTTGGCCACAAAACTGTAAAATTTTAGATAGTCTTCCCACAATGTTAATTTGCGATTTTCGGTGAACTTCCAATAGTTTAATCCTCTTTTATAGTTTGTTTATCGATGTAATCATAATTGTTCGTATATATCTTTTGTTTGAGTTTTTTGGATTGATTTTTAACCTTTTTCATGTTTAGTTATTATATGATCTTAAGTGATTAATATCTCGTGTCAATCGCTATACAATTATGTACTAGTTATGTGTTCAGTTTATGTTTATGGTTATAGATTTTCATTGTAATTTTGAATACTTGCTTTTCTTTTAATAAATTAACAGCTTCTACTTACATAAAAATAGATAATTAGAATTTCATTTCCAACCGAAAAAAAAACTAAAAGAAGTAGAATAAAACCTTGAAATAATGCCTTAAAATTTAGAAGTCAAGGCTAACACCACATTACCTACAACAGCAGAGCTTGAGAAATTCTGGGAGATACAAAAGAGAGGCCCCATAACATAAAAATTTAAACTCCACAATCTCACCATAACTAGTATAGTACAGTCTAATGGGGTCCAGCCATGGCGGTTCCAGGGTTGAGGGAGAGTTGATTTTTGGGATTGGGGAGCGCGAAGATTGCCAACAGTGCGCTGATGCCAGCCACAACAGAGCCCAACACAAAGGCAGGCAAGTTCCCACCACCAAAAGCTGCATCCAGGGGTCCACTCACCACCGATACCATCATCTGTCATTTATGAAATCCCAATAAAAGATCAAAACTTTACAATCATCACCTTCTTAATCCAATTAAGGATTCTTTTTTTCTAGGATTTTGCTTGGCTAAAAGGAAAAGGGGTCAATTCTGCAAAGGCAATTGTAGTTTTTACCTGGGGGATAACTATCGACAAGTTTAGCACTCCCAAGGACAGGCCTATAACCATCCAAATTAGTTACAATAATATATATATATACCACATGTACAAGTATTTCATAGAATACTATAAAAATCAATTATTTAAATGAGATTTAAATAAAAAAATTGGGTCGTTAAAATAATTAAAAAAATTATAACTATGGTTAATGTATAAAAGTGGAACCTTGATATAGCATAAGCATATCCACTACACCAAGAATTAAAACAGTACGCACCTTGACCACCACCTGCATCAGAGCAATATATGGATGCCAATGCGAATGGAATGCTAAATGTTACCTGCATCCAACTTCATCACTTTTATTTCATTTTAATAATACGAAAATTGTAGATAAAATGTTATCATGAATACACAAAATTAATGGATACTTGAAAGCTGTCATAGGTGTGCTCGTGATCCCAAAAAAGAAATCACACATTTTAATTTTTTGTTCGACGGTAACATCAAGCATTAATTAAAGGGATTGTGGATAAGTGTGATGTAAAAGGGAAAGGAGAAAGGAAACTAACCGCCAATGGAATGCCCAGCAATCCGAACAGGGCCAAGGCCGAGCCTTTGACGTGGGTTGGTGGAGCGGTCAAGATTTGTGGTCCCAGTTTACCCCTCCAACCCTCGGCCGCTTTGGTAATCCCCACCGTCCCGGCCAAGCAAGCAGCCAAAATGAAGTTGACTACCCCCCACAAATTCTTAACCCCGCCGATTAACCGGCTAACCGGCTCCAACCCCAGCGACGTAAAAGCCAACACGATCGAGTTTATCATCAGCCCCAACGCACCCGCACGCACTCCTTGGTCGTACAGTTTCTGTTCATTCGCGCTTCCCTTCACGTTCCCTCCGTATACCTCAACCCCCATCCAGTCGGTGTCGTACAACAGGAATGGGAACCACGCGATCCAGTTGAGGCAGGTCACGAGGAGTAATATCCACATTGGTTTTTTCAGCGTCTTGAATGCCGTCACTAACTCTCCGATGAACGCTCCGGATGATTTTCCTTCGTCTCCGTCTAAAGCGTCCTTTGTCGTTAACGGCGTCTCTTTCACGGTGGTGATCGCCGTTATCGTCACCGACATGAGGAAAACAATGTCGATGAGGAAACAGGTTTTGAGGTTCGCACAGTATACATCGCAGGCTGTTGTTTCTGCGAACGGTAGGAGTTTGTGGAGGTTGGAAAATGAACCGGCTGCGTAGCCCAGAACGTTTCCGATGGCCATGAAGAAAGAGAACCAACCATTGGCGATCCTCATTCTCTTATGATCGTCTCCGGAAAGGTCAGCGAGGAAAGCACGGCACGGACCTTGTAACATGTTGTTAGCCACGTCGAGGATCCAAAAACCAGTAACGAAGATAGCCACCGCTCTAGGCTTAGTTGGATTATCGAGTGAATCGCCTGTTCGGTGGCCTATGTCTTTGGCGAAGCCGATGAAGAAAACAGCGACGGCGACGAAACAAGCTCCGGCGGCAATGAAAGGTCGGCGACGACCGATACGAGAGGTGCAGTTGTCACTGCTGTAGCCCACGATGGGTTGAACGAGGAGGCCAGAGATGGGACCACAAAGCCAAATGAAAGCAGCCCAAACGTGAGGAACACCGAGGGTTTGAACGTAAGGGGTTAGAAGAGAAAGTTGCAGAGCCCAGCCGAACTGAATCCCGGCGGCAATGGCCGAAACGACCACGATGTTCCATAGCGGTCTTGGGTTTCCGTTTTGACCCGTCTCCATGGCGCTGCTATTCACAATTCAATCTTTATTACGGAGAGATGAATTCTACTGATGAGCTGATTGAGAAGTGCAATCAAGATATAGTAGTGTGTAATGTATTTGGACGGTGTGGGCCCCTGAATCATAAACAATACTAGGATTCTGGTCAAAAATATTTTTCAAAGTAAATTTACGTTTATAAAATTATACAATATTCACACTTACTCTCACACGTGATAACATTTTTATTTATTTTTAGTATGGGTTGAAGGTTAAATACTCCTTTGTAGGCAAGTTATAACATCTTATTTAAATTAAAATTTGTGGTTTTTATTATTTAATCTAAAGTTTTCAACATAAATCTGGTAAGAAATCTACAAGGCAAAGTAACCGGGAAATCAAATTAATTCTTACCATTTGAAGCAAATTCAACGTGTAATTACCTATTGAAATTTGACAACAGTCAAGCTGAAACATAAACATGATTTGTATATGTAATATTTTTTTATTAAACTAAATTTATTACAAAGTAGTATTTGTTCTCTAAGAACAACAACGGTTACGTAGCATAGGTTGAGGTTCTAAACTAGGTTTAATCCCTAAGAAATATCCCATAATTTAGCAGTGAGAGATGAGCATAAAACAATTACCTTTGAGTAATCACGTATCCAATTTTTTCCATCGTCTCGCAGAATACCCCACATGTTGCCAGACCATTATTCGGATGCCGAGACCATCATAATTCAGTTTTGGTAGAGGGGATCTCCAATTGGATGAACGATTCATCGGGATCAAGGATTCAGTTTTCTTTTACTTTCATATTTTTGGCATGGCTGGAAAAATATTTATTGTATATGATTTATACTTGTTCAATGGTTGAGTTACATATTTAAAATCGAAGATTTGTGAATATCTTCGTCTCCTCTTTTAAAGTATTCGTTCTCTAACATATTAAAAGTTCGATTCAGACATGGTAAATAGATTTATCTATCGTTGTATTCTTCAAAGGTCTTCTCATGTAAATCTTAATATATCTCATGTCCTCATTGATATCGATCAGAACATGACTACAAACTGGAAGACTTAACTGCAATAAAATATATTCAAGAGAGATTGTACAATCTCATGAAAGATGGAAGGAGCACGTTTCTGTTTCCATCTCTTTATGAGTGTTGAAACCAATATTGGGTTTAGCTTAAAATCTCCAATCAATCGGGACACACATAAAAAATTAGATTGGATTAAATACTCAATAATGACATTGAAGGAATATTTTCTCACATGGTGAGTTGGTGACTAAATGAATCGATATATATATATATATAAAAGTTGAAAATAAGTTCCTAGGGAGAGTAATGGATATTTTTTTTAAATTAGGTATGTCTGAATGGATTTTTTTTAATATTTTATAATTTTACTATAAGTTCCAATAATTAAGAAAAAATGTGGGATTTATGTTTATAACCTCCGACTTCCCTTTTTTTAATTTTGAATTAATATTTATATATTTCTACCCATTACTTGTCACCTAACGTAAGGACATTAACTTTAAAAAGATAATGAAAGGACATAAATTCTTTTATCCTAATTTGGTATTTGGTCACGTCCTCCATTCTTTCTTATCTCTTTCCCATTCTCATTCATTTATTAATTAATTCTCATATTTCTTTTTCCTATATTTTAAGCCATTGATTCTCATTTATTGGCATTTAATACTTATATATCAACTTGGAATTAAATTTAAAAGTTTTGATTTTTTGTTTTAAGTTTTCTTTGATATGGACAACAAAAATAAGAAAGATAAAAAAATCTATTAATAAATTGATTAAGATTTTAAATTAAAAAATATAGATTCTAACCATTTAATGATTCAATTTTAAAATGTTCTCATTTTTATCTTTCACACTACACTAAGTTTGGTATATAGCAACAATTTTACGGCGATTTTATTGAAAACGTCATTAATATTGTAATTTTAATGGCATTGTTGTATAAACGCCGCGATAAACTGTTAAGAGGTGGCGTTGTTGGAGAACCACTGCAATACTTAGTACATTATTGGTGTTTTTTTATATAAATGTTGCTATAAAGTATTTAAAGGTGGCGTTATTGGAGAAACGTCGCATAGTTTGGTATGATAGTGGCGTTTTGTTAAAAATCGTCATAATAGTTTGGTAAGTTAGTGACGTTTGCGCAAACAAACGCCACAAACTTTAATAAAAAAAAACCAAAACTCCTTTGCCTCCCGATCATTTAGCTCTCTCAATTATTTCAACCAAATCAGCAGACCCTAACCCAGCACATCCACCATAGCCCAGCAACCACCACCAGCGTAACATCACGCCGCTATCATGTTGAAAGTCTTTGCACTTTTGGTGCATTGAAAATGGAAGCATAATTGGACGTTAAATGTGGTCAAAATTTGGCCACCAAATTTTGAATTTATGTAATGGGTAAATGACAAATTTAGTCATTGCAATTTAGGGTATTTACAAGATTAGTCCTTAAGGCTTCAACTATAAATACCCTACCTCATTTAGCTTCAAAACCATCCCAAAGCATTCTAGCTTTCTTCCAATACTAGAGAGAATTTAGAGAGTTTCTTGAGAGTTGTTTTCTCCTTTTTATCAAGAGAGAATTATCATTGTTTTCTCCTTGGTAAATCGAGAGAAGTTGTAATTCCTATTTTCTCATAGTGAAATTCTTCTACCGTTGCCCGTGGTTTTTACCCTATTTTATTTAGGGGTTTTCCACGTAAATTTTGTGTCTCCTTTTATCTTCATTTTTATTTTCTCAAATTATCAGTTGCGATTTTGCTCTATCTGATAACCGTCTTCCGCAACAATTGGTATCCGAGCCAGATTTGAGTGTGTAATATCTGCTTATTGTCTTTGTGGTTGTCACCAAAAGGTGGATCCTCCAACATAAGAAAGTAAGAAGGTATTACCCATTCTTTGAAGGTTCCAGAGAACTATTCACGATAGTGAAATAGTGGGAGCTATCCGTAAAAGAAGCTATGGCAACGAAATTTGATATTGAAAAATTCAATGGGAGAAATTTCTCACTGTGGAAATTGAAGATGAAGGCCATCCTGAGGACAGACGGTTGTCTAGCAGCTATCAGTGAAAGGCCGGTGGATTTCACAGATGACAACAAATGGATCGAAATGGAAGGGAATGCTATGGTAAACTTTCATCTAGAATTAGCAGATGAAGTATTGTCAAGCATCGAGGAGAAAAAGACAGCTAAGGAGATATGAGATCATCTCACCAAACTGTACGAGGCCACATCGCTGCACAATAAAATTTTCCTTAAGAGAAAATTGTACACTCTCCATATGCCAGAATCTACTTCAGTGACATAGCACTTAAATACACTGAACACTTTATTTTTCTCAGCTTACATCTTTAAGCTGTAAAATAGGAGAACAAGAACGTGCTGAACTTCTACTTCAAAGTCTACTGGATTCGTATGATCAACTCATCATCAACTTGACAAACAGTAATGTCACCAGTCTAGTCTTCGATGACGTTGCAGCTGCTGTTCTACAAGAAGAAAATCGACTCAAGAACAAAGAAGACAGACAAGTAAATCTGCAACAAGCAGAAGCGTTAACAACGATGACAACGATGAGAGGGAGATCAACAGAACGTGGCCAAAGCAGCAGTCACAAACATGGTAGATCGAAGTCGAGAAGCAAGAATAATTTAAAGTGCTACAACTGTGGAAAGAAGGGTCACTTGAAGAAGGATTGTTGGAGTTTAAATAAAAACTCTATTCCATAAGGCAATACCGCAAACACTTCAGATGATGGAGATGCTCTATGCTGTGAAGCGTCAACCACCGTGGAAGGCAGAAAAAGATTTGCAGATATATGGCTCATTGATTCAGGAGCAACATATCACATGACCTCAAAAAGAGAATGGTTCCATCAGTATGAACCTGTCTCAGGAGGATCTGTGTATAGTTGCAATGATCATGCCTTAGAGATCATTGACGTGGGAACCATCAAATTAAATATGTATGATGAAACAATTAAAGTTGTTCGAGATATGCGGCACGTGAAAGGCCTGAAGAAAAATTTATTATCCTACGGATTGTTGGATAATAATGCAAGCAAGATTGAAACACGAAAATGAATCATGAAGGTGTTCCGTGAAGCGCTTGTGGTGCTGAAAGGCGAAAAGATAGCTGCAAACTTATACATGCTGAAGGGAGAGACTTTGCTAGAAGAAGAAGCCTTTGTTGCCTCATGTAGTTCAAATTCTACAATGCTATGGCATCAAAAACTTGGACACATGTCAGAACAAGGAATGAAAGTACTTGTGGAGAAAAACCTACTTCCAGGCTTAACAAAGGTATCACTTACCTTGTGTGAGCATTGCATAACAAGTAAGCAGCACCGGTTGAAATTCAACATGTCAAATTCTAGAGGCAAAAGTGTTCTGGAATTGGTTCACTCTGACGTATGGCAAGCACCGGTTACATCCCTAGGCGGAGCAAAATACTTTGTCTCATTTATTGATGACTACTCTAGGAGATGCTGGGTGTACCCTATTAAGAAGAAGTCAGATGTGTTTTCAACTTTCAAAAACTTCAAAGCGCGGGTGGAGCTTGATTCTGGAAATAAGATCAAGTGTTTCAGAACAGATAATGGAGGAGAATACACAAGCGAAGAATTTGATGACTTTTACAGGAAAGAAGGCATCAAAAGACAGTTCACAGTGGCGAACACTCCTCAACAAAATGGAGTGGCAGAGCAGATGAACAGAACCTTGTTAGAAAGAGAAAGATCAATGTTGAGGGATACAGGCTTAGAAAAATCATTCTGGGCAGAAGCAGCCAATACCGCTTGTTATTTGGTGAATCGAGCTCCATCAACTACAATAGAGCTGAAGACACCAATGGAGATGTAGACTGGTAAACCAGCTGATTATTTAAACCTCAATGTATTTGGAAGTATTGTGTACGTGATGTACAACTCCCAAGAAATTTCAAAGCTAGATCCAAAATCTAGGAAATGCAAATTCTTGGGGTATGCTGATGATGTAAAGGGGT